ATAATAGGGGTTAAAGTATGAAATTGCCGATTTGTACTGAAAATCTAAATTGTTTATTTTTTAAATTTTTAACAAATTTATTTAATCAAAATAGTTGCCATTATTATCTATACATTGCTGCCATGTAATGGGAAGGTTATTAATGCCTTTGCGATAGAACTCCGACGATCTAGACTGCACAAACTGTGTGAAAGCATTTTGTACTGCCTCCTGGGAAGAAAACTTCTTGTCACGTAGATAATTGTCCAAATCACGAAAAAAATGGTAGTCCGCTGGAGCAAGGTCTGGTGAATACGGAGGATGACGAATGGTTTCTAACTGCAGTTCCTGAAGGGTCAAAATGGTTTCTCGTGCTGTGTGAGGTCTCGCGTTGTCGTGGAGCAATAATGGTGAAGATCGATTCATGAGTCGTGGCTGTTTTACTGCTAGTTTTGTCAACATGGTTCGGAGTTCGGCACAATAGACATCTGCCGTTATTGCTTGACCAGATCGGAGAAAACTATAGTGAATAACACCATGGTGAGACCACCAAACAGTTACCATTACCTTTTTATTGGTAAGTTTTGCTTTAGGACACTGTTGTGGCATTTGACCTGGGGTCAGCCATTGCATTTTTCTTTTCCGGTTATCATAAAGAATCCACTTTTCATCACATGTTACAATTCGATCCAATATTCCTTCATTTCTGTACCGGTTCAACAAGGCAACACAAGTTTCAACACGCGTTTCTTTCTGCAGATCAGTCAAATCATGAGGCACCCATTTTTCGTATTTTTTTATTTTATTGATTTGACGCAAGTGAGTCAATATTGTGGGTAAGGTAACGTTAAACCATGCCGCTAATTCCTGGGTAGTTTGACTAGGATCGGCTTCCACTATCTCTCTTAATTCATCGTTATTCACCTGTGTGGGTGGTCTTCCTCGTGGCTCGTTCGTTAAGTCGAAATTTCCATCACGAAAGCGTTTAAACCAAAATCGCACGGTGCGTTCATTAGTAGACCCCTCTCCAAACGCAGCATTGATCTGTTTCTGCCGCGTTCCGCGTCGGAACTCGTATTCAAAAATCACTCGAATTTTCGCAGTATCCATCTTTCTTGTCTAAATTGAATAACAAAAACAATTGAAAGTCGATATTCAAATGTTTCAAATTTAAAAAAAAAATCACAGAAACCATTTGAAAAAAGTTTCATTCGAAAACCTCAAACCATGAAGATTCTATGAAAATTCAAAGAACCTATTGCAATAAAACGGCAATTTCATACTTTAACCCCTAATAATATATATTAGTACCATAGGCGGTGAAGTTCTTTAAATGAATAAATAGACTCTAATTTTATAATGGACCTAAAAATAAATATTACAGATAATCCTACTTCTTTATATTCTCGGAATATTAATAATTTACTCATATTATGTAAGTCACAATATTACAATTTAAAGCAAAATGTGAACAGATTACAAAGTCTAGTAAATTGAAGAGGTTTGTAATTTCTGAATTGCAAAATCTAACAAATGAACTAGCCTGACAAGTTTATCATAATGCCACATCGTTGAAACGTCTTTTATAAGAGGCAAAAACTTCTTAATTACAGTGCCGCGCTTCCACAAATCCAGGACTTGGATTAACTTGAACTTACGATTGGCATTTATAAAATTAAGAGTAATGCGAATTGGAAAAGGGAGGTTTAATATTGTCGGATTTCTCCGCAAATGTATCGAGTTGGTCCCAAGAGAATTATAAATTATGATATTGCGAAATAGAATTTCATATTATAGCCAGTACAAGTACTTATACTCTACATTGAAATATATTTGTGTAAATAGTATTTCAGATTTCAAGAACATATTTTCTTTTTTTGTATGATACCAAGTGTCGAGACGGCCAAGTCGCGTTGCTGATGGTCAACGACACGCCTATCCATAACACTTGCAATGCCACTCAGAGTTTTAAATCGCAAAGATCTGAAGGGCACTGCCACTACGCTCGTCACCCTGAGGCATAAGTTGACAAGTCCCAAGTGCCTGTAATTTCACCAGCACCCTTACCCTTCAAAACCGGAACATATTAATGCTGACATTACTGCTTGGCGGCAGAGATAGGTAAGGTGGCAGTACTTCCCTGGACGAACCCTTTCACAAGAAGCTCTAATGCTACTATTATAAATAACTTAGGTCTCTTGTTTGGGTATTCTAAATAGTCTTTTAAGCAGCGGGAGTTAATATTTATGTTTTCACTTTCACTTAAATCACATTACTGTCACTTTAAATAAAAACTTTGAATTCGTAATTAGTGGAATTTTCAAGATAAAGTATTTTGTAATTTCGTTTAAAATACGGAATATGGTTCTAACTTTCTTCATCACTATTTCTTTCATCGTATTTTCTTCATAATGTACTTAAAATAAAAATAATCTTTGCAAAGTCTGTAGTTCTAACAACAAAAGCCCGCCATTTTGTCATTTTGTTTTGACAAAACTTCTCCTAATTCATTTTTAAACATGAGTTACGAATTGCATGCTTGTGTTGTGCTGTTATTATTTAAAAAGTATATTACTTTTTAAATAATAAAATTAATTATGAACAGATTAACTTTACATATTTAGAATCTGGTATGGAAGCAATTGAAAAATATACATATTAAAATCGATATCAAAACATCAGACAGAACGTAGATGAAGTATCCTTCTACTATATTAGTCGTGAATGCTTTGAATGTGTGACGGAGGCCGACCAAAGCCTGGCTACATAACAGCCTTCGACATGCTTGTGCACTCAAACTGGCAACTTGAGCCCACTGGACAGAATTTCGACGTCGGAATAAATCAATGGCCGTCTCGTATGCTACTGAATTTACGATCAGACGAATTAGCATGCATCAAGCCAAAGTAACTCTAATCTTAATAACATCATAGTTAGAAACGAAAACTTGAACCATATACAGTGTATTTTTGGCATAGGTAACTTTACATGCTAAGTTGCTCATTTGTGGTCCAATGAGTAAGTTATCGAAACGGTTCAGCTCTACAATGTACACGATTGAAAAAATACACAATTATAAACTTTCAAACGTCGAAACCACTAGATTGGTTCTTCAGTTACTTTCACAGTTTAATGGCTTACGGCATTTTGCTTCGGGTAAAGCCGCCAATATTAATAGAATCTAGGTCCTGCAGAAACGTGCGGTTAGGGCAATTTACAATCTGGGACCAAGAGTGTCATTGAGTGATAAATTTAAAGAAATTAACACTCTTACACTAGTGTTCCAATACATTTATGAAAATGTAATTTTGTTATATTATTTAATACATTATACTGGTAGTACTTATACCATTTGTTCATTATGTCACTTAATCATTATATCTAATGTTTGTTATACTGAAGGTTCATTATACACATTGAAATTATGCATAATAGGGGTAGAATCCAAACCTACGCGTAGTCTCCCGATGTTGGAAAGAGAAGGCGGAATTAAATCGTGTAATTCCATCGCACACTCTCCGTGATATATCCTTTAAAATACCGATAAGCACGCAAGTTAACGGCTCTCGGATTCAGGGCTCTGCATCTTCGCCTCTACTAATTCCGAATCACCTATAAGCCTCTTGACACGCTTGTCAATTGAATCCAAGGTGACCAGTTCGTATGTAGCAGAGCCATCCCAAAGGTGACAGCAGCACTCCATTCACGACCGGACTTATGCTTGATACAGCTGAAGCAACTGTCCCGATGTGAAGTATCGCCTCACCTTGGAAAGGATGCCAAGCTTCCTGGTTGCATTTTTGGCCATGGATTTAATGTATCTTCCGAAGTTCAGATTAGTTCAGGTCGGCTATCGGTATGGATAAATCACGAAAAGTCGGAGTCAGCTCAAAGGGACTCCGTTGTGTGGACAACGTGGCCTGCGTTTTGGTAGCATTAAATTGGACAAGATCGCCCTAATCGGAAACTGCCTTAATTGAATGTTAATGGCTGTAATTTCGACTGTGAATCAAATTGCATGTAACACCATTGCAAAATGAAGTTCATACAATAATAGGGGGCTTTGCACATATGATATAGCAATCATGCGCGATTAACCGCGTGTATAAAGACGTTGGAAGGAAAAGGAAAAGAAAAGAAACTTTTGTGTTAAATCTTTAAAGTCGAATCTTTAATAACATTTGATTCTCTTTGTTACAGCAAGTACCAACTTAGTAGGCAAGTTCACACAAAGCGTTCGGCGGATTGTGCAAGACGTCAAGGATGAGGGCACTTCCAGTAAGTTCCATTTCTTTGATTCCAAATATTATTAATAATAATAGTGACACATATTGTTTGCTCGTCCTGCTCCATTCGGCACGTATTGTTCGCCGGTTCTTATACCTTAGTCCCTGACTCCGGGCGACTGTGCCATTGACGGTAAAAAAAAACCCATCGATCGGGCAGAACCTGTGTCCGTATGACAGCCTAGGGTAACCGCTCTACCGAGTGAGGTCGAGTCAGTAGACCTTATAAATTTCCCTATGCGTTTATTACAGATCTTTGTTTTTTTTTTGTTATAGCGGTTTTTTGTCGCGCCACCTGTGCGACATCTTTGAAAGTTTTTATTCGCTCATTCTCACAGATATCGCTTTATATATTGTAATATTGATTTTAATGAATATTATGATGTTTCACTACAACGATATTAATTTATTTCTTGGGAAATCACACCACTAGTTTCTTAAAATTATTAATACAAAGATCGAACACAAAGAAAAATTCCTTCGATCAGACAGGACCTGCCAAAATTAAAAAAAAAATGGTGGCACGCAACGATATCTATGTACTAACGTAATATTTGCGGCGTTCCATACGCACGTTGTGTTTCACTGATGTGCGGTAAAAACGCTGCACATCTTAATTTACAAAAATCACAAATTAATTTACATGTTGCCCACATTTCGCTGACTAATTGGGTGAACATAAATTTAAAGTTTTAAATTATTCACATTGATTCGGTAAGTAATGTTGTGGTTTTTTATTAATTTGTGCATTATAATATTTGATAGTAGCGAAATAGTATATAAAATATCGCACTATCCATCTCGTTTCGTAAGCATGTAATGACGCGTGTTAAAACAAGACGCAACATAAATCATAGATTAATTAGCAACAGAGTATTCTAACTAAACAATAACAGAGTATTTATAATATGATTATAACAGTTACTAACGTTACCATATAAATTTAAAAAATCAAAAAAAACTAGGCTCAACGATATCTATGTACTTGACTAGGCTGCATAGTTTAAAGGTCTTTGCCTTTCCGCAAGGAAAAGTACATAACATAACATCAACGATTTCAACTACTCGACTGTATTTGTTTTTATTTTTAGTAATATAATAATTATAAATAGTAAGCGGAAGGCCCCTGAGTCGAACCAAAATGAAATGTATTGTGCAACCAATAGCGACTTTGCCAGGGGCGTTAGTTGCTCCAACTATGGATAAATATCATTAGTAAACACTCAATATTAACTGCCTGCCTAGCTCATTCCCAATAGGCACAGACTGTCACGTATGTCCACGGTACACGGTACTGATACTCTTTGATAAAATTTAACACTGAAAACAAAACATTATCACTATTGATAGTGTTTTGTTTGGAACCCTTTGGAACATATATTTTCTGTGAATGTTCTTGTATATAGATTGAAGTCGTTGGTGACAAGCGAGAAAATAAATAAGAAAATAACAATGATTGTATTTTTTCCGTTTTCATTTCAACATCGTTCCTCCTGGTTTTAATAACGTCGAAAATGTTTGTTTCCAAAACGCCTCAAAATCAAGATAAGTCTTTCAACACTGCGCACCCGACTCACAACCCTCGAATTTAATCCAATAAAAAGTAGTACAAACTCTAATTAGGCATTCGGGTCTGACTCGACGGCAGAATATTGAAAATCCAATAATTGATTGTAAAGACTGGATCTGATTGATCAATTTAACTAATGAAATGTAAACGTTCCACATAATCGGTGAAACGAAAATCTGTTCGTTTTACAAAATTTCTCGCTCTTGTGGGGAATGTCTCCAATAGCGTTCTTAGTGTCCACTTAATTTTTAACTTGTTATAAGACTTTAGAGCTTACATCAAATTACTGTCCGCATCAGCGAGGACGAAAAGCGAATCAATTCAGAGTGTACTCGCACAGATCCTGACCTATAGGGCGCCCTTCTAACAGAAGTGTCCAGTAGCGTTCTTAGCCGAGATCCGTGCGTACCTGAGTGCCCTCGGGCCCCCTATTTAAATAATCATACCAGTTAAAGTCCTTCAGCTCGCCCTTAAGTGCGTTGGCGCTGTCAAAGCCATCAGGAGCCGACCGCTAAACAGCCTTCACAAAAAAATTGTCCAAGAAATCTTTTGATACTATACTGCAACATTTTTGCGTACTTTTCATATAAATCTTGTTGATATTCTATACAAAATAATGTCCAATAGTCTTTTTACTTTATTGTACTGAATAGTTAATTATATTACCCCTTTATTTTACACTCTGTAGTCGGAAAATAAGTGCTTAATTAATTCACCATGAACTCCTGTTTAATTTCAAACCATTATCCTTTTCTCTCCGTAGGGAGGATTTCCAACAATTAATCGGGTAACTGTAAATTGCATTATTTGAAAAACTCAGTTTATTCGTAACACTGATGTATAAATATAAATAATTATAATATTGCAAAGATCGCATTGTGGAACCTTGTTTATAAGGTATAGTGTGGTTTTTTTTTTAACTGGGACAGTATGGAGAAATCCGAAACCGTAGGAGATACAATTGTGTATTATAAACAAACTGTCTTAAGAACCGTTAAGGCTATTTTTGTGAAAACAATTTTGGCGTAGTAAATTTTTTTGTGAAGTGTGAGTTGTTCATAAAAATGAATATGATGGGTTTTTTAATGCTGATAGACTCAGTTTCATGTAAGGATCATTTCATTGTATTGGAAAAAAAATCGGGACAACAGAAGTTGGTCAAATTTAATGACAAAAATGTTTTTAGGTTCCTTAGATACCTTTCTTATAATATCAAGTAACGGGACGAACGCGTCGTGTGCCTAATGGTGAGATACACGCCTGTCCATAACAGTTGCAGTACCACTCAGAGCTTTAAATCGCAAAGATCTATGGGGCACTGCCACTGCGCCCATCGCCCTGAGACAAGTACTATGTGCCTTTAATTTCTCCAGCACCCTTACCCTTCAGATTCTTCTTGACGGCAGAAATAGGTAAGGTGGCAGTACTTCCCTGGACGAACTCTTTGACAAAGAGCTCTACTACTGCTAAAATTATTTTGGATTTCCCCATACTGTCCCAGTAAAAAAAAAACACACTGTATAATATTATCATATGTATCAATACTGACCAAAAAAGCAGTGCACAGTTCTCCCAATTCACATTCTTCTTATCGTATCGAATCATATCGATGGCATTTATACTATAATGCGGTAGGCGGTAAACCGTGGTGGAATGATTTGCCAATCGATGTAAGGTACTCGCCGATTTTTGCCCGCGCCATCGCTAGACGTACAGGAAACGATAGGTACGTCGTGCGGGGAGGCTCCTTTCGCGCACCCCAAATAATTCACTTTTTTACGACACCAAGTGAAGGGATTAATAGTTGTAGTATCGCTGAGAGGTTTAAATTGCACAAATCTAAGGAGCACTGCACTTGTCATCCTGAAACATAAGTTGGCAAGTCCGATGTGCCGTTAATTTAACCACCACCCTTAACCCTTCAAGACCGGAACGCAGTAGCCCACATTACAAAAGTAAGTCTAATTTTTCGATTCACATTAGGCAACTTATCAAATATTACAGGTCGATATGTTACGTCTCTTCATTATTGACAACATTGTTCTTGTTCTTTGTATTTGATTTTCAATGACTTTTAACCGTAGCGCCATCTATGAGAAATCTATAAAAGTAGTTCGTCACCCAGTTAGATACCTTTACAGCTACCAGCCCGGTTAGAGATGTCGCTATTCATTGTACAAATTTTTTTATTGAATTGATATTGAATTATTATTATGTTTACTTGGCATAGCGTCTGGCTCGGCAGAAGACGTCGGTTCGAATCCCGCCGGATCGAAGGGATTTTTTTCTAAGTGTTCTATGTATATCTATGTATTAATAATTATAATAAACCAGTGGAGTAATTCCACAAAAATAATTGAATATCAATTCAATAAAAATTTAATTGTTCTTGTTATCTAGAAAACAATATTTCCTTGAAAAACTGTCATTTCGATAAAAATAACAATGAAATTTATACCAGGTGGGCAGACGAAAGAAGAGGTGATAGAAACAAACGAGCGGCTCCGAGCTGTGCGCGTGCGCCTGGACGAGAACTACGATACCGCGAAGAAAGCGCTGGTGACGTTGATGGCGCGGTACAGCGAGTCCAAATCGCAGAGGAATGTGTTCACTAGATATAACATGCTCAAGGTTATGATCAAGGTAAGAGATCTTTTCTTAGTTTCGACAAATACACCTCGTTTCACGAAGTCAACCTGGAAATTCTCTGTACTATTAATACCTGAGCAACGTAAATAAGTCCGGGGCACAACCCAGAACAGAGCCAATTTAGAAAAGTTTTTGTTTTCTAAACTAGTCCCACCGACTATCCATATTTTGTTTCCTATTACAAATAAATGTTAAATTGACCGCGTTTCTTTTTTGTCGGGAACAAAGATTTTTTTAAATCTAAAAAAGGCAGAGATGACCGTAAAGTCCTAAATTATGTCCACGGGGTTTCGCATTAGACTACCGGTAATGGATTTTTATTTTATTTACATTGTACTAAGTTTTCTTATACGCTAAGATTAAACAAAAAGGTTTTATGCTCAAAAAATCTAAATGTATTTCGCATAAGCTTCAAGAATAGAAAAAACTAAACATTTGCAATATAACTATACTTTACTCAATTTATTTTGTGTATTGAAATTCTGCACTATTTTTACAATTTGGAAATTATTTATTTTATATATAATAACATCGTGGCTGAATGGATCGTGCCTTATACAAAACATTTTAGTTGAACATGTTATTATCTATGGAAATCAATATGTTTAATAAAAAGAAAACCCACCATTTGCAAAATCCGTGAATGTTGTGTTGCGAAGCGATATTTATTCATACAAGAAATAAATTTTCGTTCTATCTATTTCCTCGCAAATGTAATAAAAAACATCGTATGTAGCACGGGTGGTAATAGTTAATAATAAATAATATCTCCCTCCACATAAAATTAATGACAAGCGCAGCAAGCTAACTTTCAAGATAGTTTTTTCTAACTAATTTCGGTGGCATGTTTTATTATTTAAGTATTCGACTATACTATCGTGAAATATTAGATAATATTTCAGGATAATTCACTCGAGTATTAAGACGAGTCATCGAAGAAGAAGCCGGAAAAACTGTCTGAAACATCAAATGGTTTAAGTATTTACTATTAAAACGGCCTTACTAAAATTATACGACACACTTAAAGCTACTGTGTAAACAATGTGCTAATTTGTTACACGGTAGGATATACTTTACTCGATCATATAAAATCCTGAAAACAGGCTAAAATAAAAGTTTAAAACGAATTAATTAACAATAAAATATCTTAACTTTGCACATAATTTTTATATGAAGATAAGTACTACAGAGAACCTGCTAAAATGTTGGTTTTAAATCTTTTAATTTTTATCACGTTTTTGACATAATAGAATTATCATAATTTACGAATATTTGTTACGACTATTATTTCTTTTTTCTTTTTGTGTTAATAATTTTTTTTTTCATGCATTATTTTGTCCAATTTTTACCATAAATTAATTAATTGAATGATAAAAATAATTTTATCACTTATTATGCTTCTTAATTTTAATTATTGTGATCTAAATTTTTATATTGGTTTTGATAAATTTCATAATAATTGTAATAATTAATAACACAGCTTGTATACGAGATTAATAATTAGTTAGTTATTATCATTGTAGTGTCCTTACGGGGTTCATGTGCTGGAATACTATTATGTAACACCTCTGTTAATCCACATGACACAAAGAATAAATGAATTATGAATTATTAAATTCACATTCATCCCAAACTTTGAAAATTGCCCAGCGGTTTAAAGACCGCCGCTACCCCGTCAGTCGCCATCGGGCGCTTGTCGACGTCGTATCTGTGTCAAGTTCATCTCACCTCCTAAAATATAGGCACGCGTGGAAATACCTCGCCTTAAGTAATACTTCACGATGAACTACAGTCACGGGTACCTCCACCAAAAATATATCTGTGTTTCGCCTCTTTACGAAGCATCCTCAAGGATTGTTGATTTTACGACTCTCGGCCGAAGAATGAACTCGCTCAGAATGTTTGTTCATATTTATACCCCACTACCCTCACTATTACCATCGTTAAAATGTGGAAATAAATGCAATTCAATTCATTTATTGTACGTAAATCAAATTTTTTCCATGTTCTAAAACACTCAAACGTAATCCTTTTTTGCTAAAATGTAAAATTAATTTTCTCAAATATGCTCGGAAATGTTTGCATTACGTTCAAAAAACGAACACGGAAATTTTTTCATTTATGGCCCGTGCTACTTCTTCCCGGCCAAGGCCTGCAAAGCAAGTACGAAAATCCGTTACCGTCCGCTGCTCTTAAGGTTTTAAATTTATTTTAAAATAGCAATGAACTATGTAAAGAGGCAAAAGAAAAAAAAGTGACGCGATGAACAAGTCGTGCATCGGATGGTAAGCTTCAAAGCGCAAGATCCGAGGGATACTACCACTGCGCCCGTCACCCTAAGACATAAGTTGACAAGTCTCATGTGCCTGTAATTTCACCAGCACCCTTCAAAACCGAAACACAGTAATGCTGACATTACTGCTTGGCGGCAGAAATAGGTAAAGTGGCAGTACTTCCTTGGACAAACTCTTTCACAAGGAGATACTAAAATAAACTAAAGTGCCCTAATATTGTTTTCTGTTTTTTCGTATTTTCGTTGTGAAAATTAGTTCTTGTGAGAAGTGTGTGTAATGGATAATACTGTGCCTAATTTAAACGGTAATAATAGCCACGAAAAACTGGTTGTCGGCTATAAACAAAGAAGATACATGATAAACCTATGAAACTTCCATATACCTACTGGAAAACTACATGAACCACATCATCAGAACTTCAGCAGACTACTATTAATGTGCCTGGAAAAACAATAACATTTTCTTTCATCAAAATTGTCCTAACATGCCTAATATTACTTTTGATAATAATTAATATTTTTTTTACTTTTTCTATTATACATCTTCCTCTCTTTAGTCGTTTATTATTTCCTGACATTGTTTGAGAAAAGCACTATATAAACCTCGACGGGAACGAGGATTGCTTGACTCGTACTTGATACAAGGCCTCGCTGGCGCTCTTCCTTGTAACTCATACTCGTTCAGAATTCCCTTACTTCCCGGCCTCTGCAATAATGTACTCTAATTATGTATTTGTGTTAACGTTATTATAGTTACCACCCACGATCACCAGGATCTTTTCGGAACTATTTGTTACACGGTTTCTTTTTTGCAACTATGCCTTATCAAGGAAAAGCTTTGCTGTCTATTGGATTGTTTATGGCTTTGCTCAGCATTTCTTACACTATATTTCATCCTATGTTCCTTTTTCTAGCTTTATAGACTCATGTACGTGAAGAACAACATATTTTCTATTAATATCAGGAAGACAGCTCTTCAAACATGCTCCGTAACAAAGGAAGTTTAATCCTAATTTCGATATTAAACTAATCAAACTCAATGATATTTTGTAAACACGGTCTGGAAACTAATATCGATAGTTCTTGTTTGATAGCTTCCCGTTAAATTAATAACTATAAAATGTTGACTCGAAGCTTCTTAAGTTTCGGTAAATATAAAAAAAAATACAAAACACGCAAAAATATATCGACAATATTATTTGAATTAACATCAAATTAGGTGCGCGCTCTCCGGACACGCCTATTGATTCTTAACATCAATCTATAAAGACGTTGTCTAACAAAAGTAAACTTGGTGGCATAGAATTGGATGTACAATAGAAAAAAATCACGGTTCAACGAACAGGCAAAGAAAAAGAATGGGACCGTTCTTGTGACCGCTAGGGAGCGGTGAACAAATTGTTCATTGTCAATTTTATTATTGTATTAGATTTTTTCATTCATTTTCATTATTACATAATAATTATAACTTTTATTGTTAGTTTTTTTTTAAATCACGTCACGTCGTCGCCTTGTCCGAACACCGCCAGTGTGCGTTGAGTTATGTAGTTACATAGTTATCTAAGACTGTGGCTAACATAAATAATAGACAATGGCTGACAGCCATCCCCACCCCACGAAAGTCGATCCCTTCCCTAGTGGCCAATATAAATATTACGCTCCATTTCGCTGTAGCCGCTCTACTATTCCGCTTAGAAACTTGATAGCGACGTCCACGCGATAACGCGTGTTCGGCCTTTTGGTGACAACACTCGATGAGTGTACATCGCGTGATTTACGCGTTAAATTGTAAGTAGAAACACAGACAACAAAGCACCTACAATCCTCAACCTCGTCATTGCATATGATAAACTCACTGAACGTGATATCTGATGCAGTTTAACAGTGCGCCAGTGTAGACTATTTAACTAAGAGATTCAACGACCACGCTGTTTTGTCGCCAACGCGTTAATATTCATGACTCTCTCTAATCCCGGTATACAAGGTTCTTTCTCGAAGAAATTCATTTCCAGAGCTAAGCCGCTGTATTTGTGTTAAAATGTTAACAACCGATCGACATACAAATAAGGCGACCGTAAATAACCTTTTGATCCCAAATTAACTGTACTCGTGTACCCTTACAATTATTATAGGTACATGGTTACTTTGAAGCAGTACATTTGTTCTTCCATTATAATACACAATTGTTACATTTCACTTCTCTTACAAGGCAATGGAATAGCTACATGTATAGAAATAGTTGTTGGTTTTAATTGTAGGTTGGTTAATACGTTGTGACGTGTAATGACCAGCTGACTGACAGACCGAAGAACTGGGTTCGCATTCTTTTTAACCGACTTCAAAAAAGGTTCTAAATTCGTCTACATGCTTTTTTTTGGTTGCATGTTACGCGATAACTCTGTTGCCAAATTTGTGAACCGATTTGGATAATTCTTTTTTTGTCAGAAGTAGTGGTCCCATTTAAATCTGAAGAAAATATTCCACCTCTAAGAGTGACAAACTAGGGGATGAATCCGGTTTCGCGTACTTTCCGGTAACCGATTTCAATAAAACTTGGTAAATAGATGTAATTTGATCACATTTGAGGACGGTTTTTAGTACTCTGTATTGAGATTACGTTTAATTGATATATAGCTTCAACCTGGACTCTGCTTTTCTTTTAGTCACAATTATACTACGACAAATTTTTATAATAATATTC